TTTGTAAAGGTTTTCAGAGGATTCCAATCAGCTAAACTTTGCTTAAGAAATAAAGACAGCTCTTGTCTAGCACTGCTAAGAAAGGTGTTAAAGAAATGATTAGTGGGATAGACTCCTCTACAAAGTCCTAAAATAGTCTATGTTTGAGGTACTATTTAAGGCCTCTGTATTCCTCATTCTTCTTGTATATGCCTGTCTCTGTTGTTCATTACTGCTTATGTCTATCTCTGTGTGTGTATGTGCTAAGTCGCTTCAGTGGTGTCTGACTCTTTGCGACCCCGTGGACTGTAGCCTTCCAGGCTCCTCTGTCCATGGGGTTCTCCAGGCAAGAATACTGGAGTGGGCTGCCATTTCCTTCTCCACAGGGTCTTCCTGACCCAGAGATCGAACCTGCATCTCTTAGGTCTCCCGCATTGGCAGATGGGTTCTTTACCACTAGCGCCACCTGGGAAGCCAAGTCTCTCTCTGCTGTTACATATTGTTATTATCATTCTATAGGATAATCCTCCCCATTTTATCCTGCCATGTTTCCTCTAGGAAGAAAATATGAACTACTTAAGTAGGGGCTACCTTGCATTTCTTAATATCATCTTATTCCACCATTCAAGTTCTCTATATCACACTTTCTATTTCTTTCTAGCACTTTTCACTAACTAAATTTATTTTGTGTATTGTTTCCTTGGTTACTATGTGTTTCTCTTAATAGAATGCAAAGACCTTAAAAATAAGGACACTATAACTAATTTAAAGTTCTAACCCAATATCTAGTTCTCAAAATATACTTGATGAATAAATGAACTACCTAGAGGACTGATTTTTGCACATATATCAATGTATATTGTAATTATATACTGTGTTTACTCAGTTCCCACTGTATCAGATCATTTATGACTTTCAGTCCCATCTTCTGGTCCTTGCTCTGGAAGAGTCATCATGTGAAGGATACAAAGAGCAAGAAATTTTATTTCATTCTGTCAGATTAAAACGATCAAGTTCATTTAAGGTCTCTTTTTGAAGGAACTTGAAATTACATACTCTTTAGAGTGGATATTTCCAAGATAAAAAGTAGAAAATCATAGACATCTAAATGGAGCTAATGCATCTGTTAACAATATACGAACTATTGCTTATATTTTAGAGAATTTCTTAATTTTAGTTTGGGAGTTCATGTGTTGACTCATAAAAATGACCATGATGTAATATTTACTCAGACCCTGATGCTATTTGCAAAATTTCAAGATCAGCTATATGAACAAAAACTTATTCTACTGTGGGTTTTATAGAGTATCTTTTAGCAGAGTCAAAGTGAGTTTCTTTCCACTCTACATATTAAGTATCATCAGGCTCTAGATACTAGGCACCAAAAGAGTGTGTGACTGGCTAGGAACATTTGTCTTTGGGGCTGCCTTTAATAGCAAACCAATGAGGGAATCATCAATTTATTAGGATAAAAAGAGTTGCTTCTTTACTTGAGTTTTTTGAAATTGTTCCTCCTGGTCTCAACTTAGCAATCAGAATGTAAAGAATCCCACACTTCCATGGGGTTGGTTTCCTTCTCAAGAATATATTCCTGAACACCATGAGTCATCAAGGGGTGTTGCCTTTGTGATGCAACTATTATGACACTCCATGATATCCTGTGATGCACTATAATGTCAAAATACTTAATGTGAAGTGGGTACAAAGTTCATGACTTGAAAACATTGGAGGAGATTACTGATCACTTACTCTGTGAGTAGCTACATTTCTAAGGGTCACTTAGTTCTTCAGTGTGATTAATATAATGTAACTATCACAATGTTAAGGTTAATAATATTTAATAACAGTCAAGTTTATTAATTTATTGTGTATTCACTACAAGCAGGATCTGTGTTATTGTTTATGCATTTTATTTAATCTGCTTAACAGCACATGGGTATCTTTATTCTTATTTTCAGATGAGGAATCCAGAGTCTTTCAGATATTAAGTAATTTACTATATGGTGGGATTTGTATATAAAAACTCAATTGGTTTGAATCTCAAGTTCATACTAAGGATTCAGTCCCTATGATGCTATGTTATGTTCCACCCCAATGTAAATTATCACCCTCTAAATTTCCAACTGGAAAAAGACAAAACAATTTCCAATGTAAAGAGCCCACTTTCACTTCAAAGTGAAACACTTTTGATGATAGGTGTGTACAACTTGCATTCACTCAATAAGAAGAAGGGCTTCCCTGGTGGATCAGCTGATAAAGAATCTGCCTGCTTTCTAGAAAGATGGTAACGATAATCCTATATGCAAAACAGAAAAAGAGACTCAGATGTATAGAACAGACTTGTGGACTCTGGGAGAAGGCGAGGGTGGGATGTTTCAAGAGAACAGCATCGAAACATGTATATTATCTAGGGTGAAACAGATCACCAGCCCAGGCTGGGTGCATGAGACAAGTGCTCGGGCCTGGTGCACTGGGAAGACCCAGAGGGATCGGGTGGAGAGGGAGGTGGGAGGGGGGACCGGGATGGGGAATACATGTAAATCCATGGCTAATTCATTTCAATGTATGACAAAAACCACTGCAATGATGTAAAGTAATTAGCCTCCAACTAATAAAAATAAATGGAAAAAAATTAAAAAAAAAAAAAAGAATCTGCCTGCAATGCGGGAGACCTGGGTTTGATCCCTGGCTTGGGAAGATTCCCTGGAGAAGGGAAAGGCTACCCACTCCAGTATTCCAGCCTGGAGAATTCCATGGACTGTAGAGTCCATGGGGTCGCAAAGAGTCAGACACGACTGAGCGACTTTAACTTTCACTTTTACTTTCAATAAGAAGGAAGAGTAAGAAGAAAGGAAGAGAAGGAAGAGAAAAATCAAAGCCTATGAGAGTAGAAAGATATACCAGCCTAGGCAACGATCTGCATGCTAAACAAAATCACCACCATCTTTTGAAATCTGCTGGTAAGAATGTGAGTCTCTCTGAATCACAGTCACCTCATCCACCAAAAAAGATGACCATGCAGGCCCCTGCTTCACCCTGGAATGGGCAGGGTCATCTTTCTCATCTGATTTCCACTCTCGGTCACACCTAGTCTTCAGGTATTCTTTTCATTTACACTTGCTTCTGGGAAGACCATTGAGTGACCTCTCCATCTTTCCACAATGCTTTCCGTGATACACAGAACAAAACTAAACTGTATCCTGGTTCTTCATGGCACTCAATCCTTCTTATCTGATATAACAGTCCTACTTTGCTCTGCATCTGACTTTCACCTCCTTGAGCTACTGCGAACTGGTCATCGTTTAATTATCTCCCTGCATAAAACAGAAAACAAGTGAAATACACAAAATATGCTCTCAACAAATGTCCAATAGGAGCAAAGACATGAGTCATGACTCTGTTTATTTTATCCTACTAAATGTAAGGTACTATTTAGCCTACATCATTATGACATGTCATTAAAAAATATGCAACTTTTAAAAGGTTTCCCAGAATTAGGACACATGCCACTGTGAGCCACATTCCTAAAAAGAACTGTTTTACTGGAACAGTCACGGAAGAGATAGGTACCTTCAGGACAAAGAAATACTTAGAACAATGCTTTTTTTTTCTTCTTCAAGTCATGAAAAATCAAGTTCTGGAGTTGTCCCCACATTGAAGTTAGTCAAATTAATCAACTCTTTCCCTCTCTCTTCACTTTATCTACTTGACATGATTAAAATGCCCTGCTAGAAAAAAATAAAATAAAATAAAATAAAATGCCCTGCTAGGTTCTAAATGGACTCTCAAAGCTGGTCCATTCTGTCTTGGGATTCCAGAAGCAAAATCTTGGCCACCACTCTTCATCCAATGCCAATATGCTATCAGCAGAGATTATTCCTTTAGGTTAAATATTATTCTCCTGTAGAAATTCTCTTTTCAAAGAGAAGTTTAGTCTAAATCCCTTTATCGGAGTGGAAAGAGAGTTTAAGAGTGAGATGAGGTTGAAGATGAATCTATCTGGCTCCTGCCATGACCAGCTGTGTGAAGTCCTCCCTGCCTTGTAAAGCTGACATTTGTCCCTCTTGTAAAACAGGGAAAATGATACGTAGACCTCCCTAGGTTTTGAGTGAGGTGGTATTGGTAATATTTTTAATGTATTTAGTATATTTAGTGTTCTGCCAAAAAAAAAAATCAATAAATAATAACTTTGACAAGGACGGGTCCTGGGCCGCAAAAAGAAATTGGACAGGAGGTGGTTGGAAATTGTGACCACATCACAGTAGTGGGTGGGGAAGGGCCCCCGAGTGAGATAAGGTAAATAAAGCAGCTTCTCATTAGGAGGTGGTCTCTGTAGTCATATTATGACCGTTATTGTTAAAGACATCGGGCCATTGTTAAGTCACTCCTGATCTTAAGGTACTTTAACGTTTTAAAATGGAGTTCTTTTCTAGTTAATTCCTGTCTGTGGTAACACTACGATCAACCGAAGTATATTCGGAGGATTTTCAGATAGGTTGAAAGTTCGGGACTTCTGAATGTCAGCTCCTAGCTCCCAAACTCCACTCCCGTCCCTTGTATGGATCTGGTAAAAAAAATTTTTTTTTCAGCTTGCAGCAAGAAGTTTAATTTTCACTTCCTTCCAGCGGCTCTCTGCCCTCCCGGGAGGTGGGGCGCCTGGCATCCGTGTGTGGTTTTGGGGTAGTAACCTCTTCCCGGGAGGCCGCCCGCCTCCACCCTCCGCGGCAGAGTGACGTCACGGGCGATGCCCGGGTCCCCGCCCGGCCTATAAAGCGACAGGTGCGCGCAGCACCTCCGGAATGTTCGCACATCTGGCGCCCGAGCCTGAGCCCAGGGAGCCCGCGCCCAGGGATCCCGAGGCGAGCTCCAGGAGCTGCCTCCAGCGCCCCAGGCTGGCCGGGCCTGCGAGCTCGGCCACGCGGCCCCCCGCGTCCCAGCTCTCGGCCACCACCGCCTCTTCCCGCCCGCAGCTCCCGGCCGAGTTGCCCCAGAGACCGCAACGCCGCCGCTCCGAGGGACCAATGAGAGCCCCGCTGCTGCCGCTGGCGCCGGTGGTGCTGTCCCTCCTCATCTTCGGCTCAGGTGAGGACATCCCGGCTCTGAGCTGCCCGGAGCTTCTCCCACCGCGGCCAAACCGGTCGCCCCTTGGATTTTGCTGATGCTTCTCCAAAAAAAAAAAAAAAAAAAAAAAGCCCCCCCTGGGTATCCCCCGGTCCGGTGGGAGGTAATCGACATACCGGCCCCTCCTATGGAGATAGTGAAAAGAGGCCGGGTGTCTTAGAGGTTCCAGGCCAGCGGGAGGTTGCCTGAGAATCTTTGTACTCTCACTTTAGTCCAGAGGAGGGAGAGCTTAGAGATCCTGTGATCTAGACCCTTCCTTTGACAGAGAAAGAAACAGAGGTTCAGAGTGGTAAAGTGATTTCCCGAGATCTTGGAGAAGAGTAGTTAAGTCCCAGACCTAGGAGTTCTACCTCCTACCTAAATTCTTCGTCTCCTCTGTCAAGTGATTTTTCTTTTGACCATTCTAGAGGGCCTGGCATCGTCCCAGGGAGAAGTTCCACTTAAAAGCACCACTCTGACACTGTTTTGAGACCTAAAGAATCCGCCTGCCAAGCAGGAGACGCGGGTTCGAGCCCTACGTTGGGAAGATCCCCTGGAGAAGGAAATGATAACCCACTCCAGTATTGTTGCCTGGAAAATCCCGTGAACAGAGGAGCCTGGCAGTCCATAGGGTCGCAACACAGTCCTACACGATTTAGCCGCTAAACAGCACAGGATATAGCAGGGGCTTGAAACTGGCCCCCAAGGCCTACCTAGTCCCTAGTTTCTTCTCTAAGTGAGAGCAATAATAAACAATGACAGTAAGAAAATTTATTAACAACTACTATTCATATTACTTTTTACATTTGATATGCATACTGTTTTTTAAAAGGTAAGCATGTGTTAAGAAGATACTGGATTGATCTCTAGAATCTGTTTATTAAAATGGAACAGGTAACATTCTATTCTATATATGAAGTTATGGTCATATTTAGATGTTGCCCCTTAAATAATTATAGTAAATGTTAAATAATTATATTACATTAATTCACCTATTTGGTGGGTTTTTGATGTGGAAATTAATGTAGATTATCTGTGTGGAAAAGAAAACCTAAATGAAAGAAGCTCTGTAATTGGGACAGCTGAGTTTCCTTGTCGGCAGAGTACGAAGCAGCTTTCATAAGTGACTCAATCACAAACAACAACACATGTGCAGTCACTGCTTTGAAGATAAACATTCCTCCCGAACAGAATTGACTGGAGAGAACAGTCACCCCGCTTTACTTTTTCTTTTCTCCTCTTATTCTCACTCCCATAGCCCATTATACTGCTGGATTAGACGTCAATGACACCTACCCTGGAAAAGGGGAACCACTTTCTGGGGACCACAGTGCCGACAGATTTGAGGTGACCTCAAAAAGTGAGATTTCCTCTGCAAGTGAAACGCCTCCTGGTGGTGAACTGTCCTCGGGGAGCGACTATGACTATTCAGAAGAGTATGATAGTGAACCACACATATCTGGCTATGTTGTAGATGATTCAGTCAGAGGTGAGTAGAGGATAAGATGACAGTATAGCCTATAAGATATGTGGTTCGTATGAGCAAAGCTGCTTCAAAAAAAAGCCTCTTCAGGATCTTCCAGTGGCTTTCTTGTGTGTATGACTGTTGTGCATCCCGCTAGTTAAGCTGGAAACTCCAATAGAGCTTTCAGTGGGCACAACCTTTGTGTCTGGAGCTCTAACAAATGTTTCATGTCTGCTAAGTCTAATCTTCACAACTTTATGAGGTAGGAATTGCTATCATTTTACAGATGTGATAACTGAAGCTTAAGAAGGTTAAGCATTTTGCCCAAATTTCCACAGCCAGAATGAGAAACTCCAATCTGTTGGATTTCAGATACTCTGTCACATGACCACTCCCCTATGTGAGAAACCAATATAGACATCAACCAATCCCATATACTTTATATCTCAGCTTTTATAGCCACTCGCCATCACCATTTTCCTCTAAATAACTGCTGTTGGACTCAAATAGGGCTTCCCTCCTAGCTCAGTTGGTAAAGAATCTGCCTGCAGTGCAGAAGACCCAGGTAAGGGAACAGAAAGATGAATGGGAAAAGAATGATTGGATCTTAGCCACTGTGTATTGTGTTACGAGCTTGGTAGTAATAATGGTAATATCACTTAAATATTAAAGAACAAATATGCATGGATTTTATATCACTAACATCTCTGTTTAACCCCAAATCTCATTTGTCAGTTAAATAATAGTGACCTATAATTTCTTCTCTTCTGCTGTTATCTGATTTTTCAAAAAGAGCATTTACTTAAAATGAGGGTACCAGGGTAAGAGGTCACTATTGTTCATTACTCTCATATTACTTTGGAGTTGGAGGACAGACGAGGTCATCAGTAAATCAGATCTAAATATCCTAGGAGCATCCATTATGAAGGCAGGGTTTAAAGCGTCTTCTTTCCTGATCTTAGTTTCCCTGACTCCTCCCCTCTGTCTAGCTCCCAGAACTGGTGAAGGAATAGCAAGTGATAACATGAAGACAATGGCAGGTGGGAAAAGTTTTATCAAATACTCCATTTTCCTCCCTTGCTCCACACCTCCTTTATGTGCTTGTACATAAGGTGGGAAAGGGGTCCATCTATAATTCTTATTTTGGGAGGGGGATGAGATGAGACCATTAATAAGACTATAGAAATTTTTCTCTTAAAAATGTTTCAAGTTAGTATTTCATAAGACCAAATGAATTGATGGTGATGAATGAAAATGGCTAGGGGCCAAAATTAGAATGCACTGTAAAATACAGTGAAAATTGATCCATGAAGATAATGTCTATTATAGCACTTCAGCATAGTGACTGTCTCTGTTTAAAATTTGTAATGTATCTGATAAAGTGCTGTATTACCAATTTAAAATGTTTCTGTTAGAGGAACTGTTCTAATTTGGGGTACTTTTCTTATCTTCAGAGGGAAGTTTCAACACAAAAATTGCATAGCCACCTATTAAACATTGCTCCTGGTTTGACTATTATTAATGTTGATTTAATGACTGCTAAAATACTCAAAGTATTTAATTTTTCATTACCTTAATCACAGGGCTTCAACTTTGCTGCCCTTCCTTATGTTTCTGGAGCTCTCTCTTTACTGGGCACTGCAGAACCATTATGACTAACTTTATTATGACTTTATGACTCTTTTCTCTGGGTTCACTAAATACTTGCTCAGATAAACCTATGCAGAGATTAGTAAGATGAAATTCACAGCTCTAACATAGAAACTCCTCCTTCCTATATTTAATGTGTGGGAAAACTATACCCTGCAAAGCTATAACACTGAACAAAGGTTTCTGTGAATCTGAAGAGCTAGGATGAACCCATGAAGCATCAAGTACAAATGTTTCTGGACTCTTATTTTTCAAATAGATTGATCACAGAAATTAGCCCCCAGAATGTATCAGTTAATTATAATCTGCTGTAATCGGGGAGTTGAAGAAAGTTAACTCTACTGTATAATTCTCAGTTTTCTTCACTTCAGGTAATACACACCAATTCCCAACTATGATAGCACAAGACTGATATGAGTAAAAAAATCATCAAATATACCCAAACCCCACTTTAATGAATGGAACTGAGCTTTTCCAAGAGAAAACAGAATATAACCGAGCATTAATAGGCTTTAACATCCCAGCACTGCCATTTTCTAGCTACTGTCTTAGTACAATTTTCTTGTCTTTGCTCGACTCCACTTTTTCTCATCTGTATTATGTGGGTAGTAACAATACATTCAACTATGATTTGGGTTTAATTAAATTAATGCTTGTTACCAAGAACCTGGTATGTATTAGAAGCAGAAACAAATCTTTTAAAATATTTCATGGATTTTCCTAGACAAGTAACTCCTATTATTCCTGTTATCAGTAATAATAATACTGATACAAATAAATCAAAATATGTTTTTAAGCTAATAAAATAACAAGTGTGTTCAAATTCTAAATGCCACTTAATACAGATATTGCCTTTGTTCAATTATTATATATGAGTTGTATTAAAAAATGATACTGATACGGCTGTTATCCCTGTGAACTTTCATTGCTAGGACATTTTTCTCTCATGTCTTCAAAATGGTCTTCCACATAAAAAGAGGCTGTTGTCAATAAATCTTTTCTTTTCCTTTTTATTGTTTTAGTTGAACAGGTAGTTAAGCCTAAGAAAAACAAAACGGAAAGCGAAAAGACTTCAGATAAACCCAAGAGAAAGAAAAAGGGAGGCAAAAATGGGAAAAATAGAAGAAACAGAAAGAAGAAAAATCTGTGTGATACAGAATTTCAAAATTTCTGCATTCATGGAAAATGCACATTTTTAGAGCAACTGGAAACAGTATCATGCCAGTAAGTTACCCTAAATCATGTGGAATTCTATATTTCTAACACTGTGTCTGAAACCCCTAGTTGCAGAAAACCATTTGCTTTTTTTCAATGTATAAACCAAGAGTTGGCGAACTTCCTTAAAGAAGCACATATGAAATATTTTGGGTGTTGTGGGTCAAGATCATGTATGGTTATCATATAACCAATTAAAACATGGCCATTTAAAACTGTGGAAAAAACAAAACAAAAACATTTCTCGGCTTGCATGCTATAAAAGACCTAGCAAATGGCCAAATTTGACCCATGGGCAATAGTTTGCTGAACCCTGGTGGAAATCATCATTTTGCAATATATATTTTACAAAACCTCTTGATAAAAAAGGAACTAAGGTAGTTTTCACTTAATGTTGTTCTTGCTTCCTTCCCCCTAAAAGCTGCTAGCACGTTAAATGGTGGTGGAATGTGTTAGCTGCATAACTAGCCACTGAATTCATCAGTTGGTCATACACGGAGCACAAAGAATGAAAAGGCGTGTCTTCCTGGAATATCACACCCAGACTAATCTCAACTTGTTCTTATACTAATAGACCTTAGGCTCGAATGCATTCTACGTCTCATCATTTTGAAATACAAATAAATGTCTGGACTGATTTTTTGAATGCTAGAATTAATGATGGTTTGTGCTCTGGAAAGTGAACATAAAATTTATTGGAATCTTTTCAGTGATTATTAAAATGTGGGTTGTTTGCAGATGTTATACAGAGTACTTCGGTGAACGATGTGGGGAAAAGTCCATGAAAACTCAGAGCATGGTCGACAGCGATTTATCAAAAATTGCTTTAGCAGCTATAGCTGCTTTCGTCTCTGCCATGACCTTCACAACTATTGCTGTTGTTATTACAATCCTGTAAGTAAGGCATGTCTTTAAAATCCCTAGTAAAGTAATGCCAGGTTGATTTTTTTTCAGCATTTTTATCTTAATGTGGTATCATATTTTACGTGAGTTATTCTATTAGTGGTACGTGATATTTGGCCATATCTTTACACTTTATTGACAGTTCACAGAATATGGTTAAATGTATTCCTTTGACCACCATTGACACTTAATATATGAACCCCTTTTCTTGAATTTAAAAATTGATGGTTTTGTTTCATGTTATATGTCTACGCATGACTATTTCCGAATCTGAGATTGCTGATAACTTCTATTAGTATATTAAGCTTAAGCAAGCTTCCCAGAAGCTAATTAAGACCTAGGTTGTCAGAGACAGTACTTTGACACTAAAAATTCACAAAGAGCTTCAAACCAGGAGCCAAGAAAAGATATGTCTTCTGCTTCTGTCAGAATGCAAAATTCTGAGTTAGGAATTTGATAACATGGTACTGACTTTTTAGAGCTTATGCCTATTTTGTTATTGTCAAATGCAGTATGGGAATTCAGTTACTAAAAAAAAAAACAAAAACAAAACATTTCCTCCATATGGCATGGCGTAGGAAGCAGGGACAATTCTATTACTGTTTCATTCTAGCAGTCTCTTCCCTGTGCTCATAATAACAGATCACTTACTTCACTTCATGACCAATGAATGTTAGAACTAGACTGTCCTAGGTAGTAGCCACTGGTGGGTATGTAAAAATGGCATTGTCTGTCAAACAAAAGTCAGTAGATTAAGGAGCTTGGGGGAGGGTGTGAATGGCTCTGTAATGACTCATGTGCTACTGGAGCTTGGGAAAAGCAAGACTCATTATTCTAATTTTAGGTCTTGGTAAATTACTTTTAACAACTGGATTGTGTACATGATCTACTACTCTTGCCATTCAGGAAACAAGGGGTTATCTTCTGTCATTGTTTACTATTATTTTAAATTCAGATCAGCTAATGATAAAATGCCAGGTAAAACACAATTTTATGATGCACGTAAAGTTTGATGTGTGGTTTATATTTGTTTTGCACATCCGAGAAATTATTTCGGTCTGTTGGTACCTCAAGCCCAATATGATATGCAAGTGTGTTTAGGAAAAATACACTCAGACACCATTATTATTTGACGCAGAATTACAGAAGAAGAAACTGCCAGTTAGGGAAGATGTTTTGAAAGAATTATTCAAAAACTCATAATTATTCAAATTGAAATATTTAATAATCCTTTGGAAAAGTATGGAAAAACTTTGTCATGTTTTCCTTTTCTCTTGTATTTTCCCCTGTATTTGAAACACATTGCAAATACCAGCCTAAGACACAGTTGCTGCTTTTTCAAAATTGAAATCAGTTTTTTCCCAAACATCACAACAAAAGTTCTGAAGATTTTAATAATAACCTTTAGTAGATAAAAAAGCCAATAAAAATTGAATTGCTTGAACAACACTAAAACATTTCAGACCATTGAGTTTTTTGGTATCAGGTAGCAATAAATAAAATTAGAAATATTCATTATATTTAGAAATAAAATCAATTTGTTTTTAAGCCTGTTAAAAAAAACAAGCATCTACATTAGTCTGTGCAAGTATACAGCCCTTCTGTGGTAAAGCTATACTATCTTCTTCCAGTTGTACCTGCAATTGTGCTGTTTTGGGGAAAAATATGGATGTGTTTCATGCCTTCTAAAAGTTTGCATCCCAATGCACATTTGTTTAAATCTCAGTACTTTGGGAATATGGTTATATAAAGTCAACATAAAGATTCCCTTAAAAGAACATTGGTGATACTTTTTAGCTGGGTTTGGTTTTGGGTTTGGTGGAGTGGTCAGTAAGTGTATAGTGGTCCATAAGGACTCATGAAAGAAATTCACTGTGGTCATGAAACCCCAGTCAACATATACGTGAATAGAACTTTGATGACAGTAGAATATCTTGTTCTCTGAAGGCTTCGAAGACGATACCTCAGGGGATATGAAGGTGTCGCTGAAGAACGAAAGCAACTTCGACAAGAAAATGGAAATGCACATGCTGTAGCATAACTGAAGGTATTATTGCAGGTTTGAGTTTTCAAAGATATCTTTAAATAATATTTTACAATTTAAAAAATATAACGTCTATTATCTGAAGAAAAATGAGAAAAGCATGTGTTCTTTTTTTTTATTTTTTATTATTTGGAGGCTAATTACTTAACAGTATTGCAGTGGGTTTTGTCATACACTGACATGAATCAGCCATGGATTTACATGTATTCCCCATCCCGATTCCCCCTCCCACCTCCCTCTCCACTGGATCCCTCTGGGTCTTCCCAGTGCACCAGGTCCGAGCACTTGTCTCATGCATCCAGCCTGGGCTGGTGATCTGTTTCACCCTAGATAATATACATGTTTCGATGCTGTTCTCTTGAAACATCCCACCCTCGCCTTCTCCCACAGAGTCCACAAGTCTGTTCTACATAAAGCACGTGTTCTTAATAGTACACTATGAACATTGGCTACACAAAAGTGTTATTCTTTCAGCTTGAGTTGCAGTTCCATACTGAGAATGGAGCATGTCCTTACTATTCTAAGGGGTAGAAAAATGAAGGAGACACAAATTCTGTTGTCAAAGAGCTTAGTGTTTTGAAGATAGAAAAAAAATGCAAGAAACAAGAATATCAGGGGGGAGTAAAATATATGTCATAAAAAAGGAACTAATGGAATATGAGGAGTTTCCAGTGAAGGAGAGATAGAATCCAGTGGGCTGCATGTAGGGAGCAGAAAAAGATGCGATGGAGGATGGCATTGGAAGTGAGCCTCAAAGAACTGATGAGAGTGGGACAAGTGATTATAAGTGGAAAGGAAGATCGATAGTGTGAGATGGGCTAGATTATTTTAGAACGGTTTGAAAGATGACCTAGTTCAAATAGTGTTGGAGAAGATAAGGTTGAACTGATAGGCTGAGCTCACATGGTGGAGAGCCAACATCGGGGCACCTGCATTACAAATGTGAGGAAGTAGAAATACCGGTGGGATATCCTTACACAGAAAAAAGTAGGAATGGAGGGGACTCACACTTGAGAGGAACTTGGTTAGTGTACAGATTGTAGTTCTTATTCTTTTTTTAAATTTTGTAAAGAGAGAGAGCTGAGCATGTTGTATGGAGAAAATATGGAGAGGGATGTTTCATTGATAACCAAAGTCAACAGCTGATGAAACAAACTTCCAGAGGAAGAGGGGAGGCAAGGAGATCAAGGAGACTCTTAATGTCAGTCAAAAGAAGGAACTCTATTTCCTCAGACATTTTGGAAAGAGGTCACATCCTTAAGTTATTGGGTTGGCCAAAAAGTATGTTAGGATTTTTCCTTACAGTCTTACAGAAAAACTCGAATGCACTTTTTGGCCAGCCCAATATTATTTTCTGCCTTCAATTGCTTTAAGAATTACTTGAGATACTTGCTCAATATGCATATTTCTAAGCCAAACCCTAAATCTACTAAGTCTGTGGTTCCATTTTTTATTAACATTCCAGATGCTTGGAGAACACTATCTTTAGCATTGGTTAAGTACAGGCATTACATTCTGAGCCTATTACAGAATTAGCTCAGTAAGTCATGAAATAGATAATTATCCATGCCAATGCAATACTCAATACTTATTCATCAAAAGTTATTAATGAATTGGCTTAATGTTCTGAAGCTAAAGTCACCAGCATGAATAAGAGTTTATTTCTGGTTGTTTAGTGCAATTGAAATTTCTCAAAGGAGGTCCAGAATGACTTTAGGAAAAGGAATATGCTGTGTTGGCACATTGTGGCTGCCTATTAACTGGTAGCTACTATTATTATGCCCTTGGTGCTAATTATCCTAAATTAACTGTATATCATAAATATACTAAGCCACTTAATCTTTGTTTTTAATTATGTCCACTTCATAGATTGGTTAGGAAGACTATTTCTCATCACTATTCTCAGTGTTGCAGTTTTAATAAACAGAATTTGATGAAACAGGTTTGAACATATACAGTCTTCTACCCAAGTAAGCATATAACCAAAGCAGATGTGAAAGACAGATTCAAGTCAGAAGGGCTAGTTTGTCTCTAAAAAGCTTTTAGCTCTTTCCACAAGACATCCTAGAAAAAAAAAAATTGGCAGAAATTCTGATAGATGATTATTCTTTGACCTTATCTCAAAGCTATGTTGGAATTGAGCTGTCTCTAACAGTTCATTTTATTTCCCAACAGGGTATCAGATCGGAGTCGCTGCAAAGTCACAACTGCAAGTGATACATTGGTTCCTCTTTTCAGCGAATCCTAAGAAAACAGAACCTTTTCGTTCTGATGGTTTTAAACTTTCAATTGTCACTTTTTAATGCTAAGTCTTATTTCTGTACATAAAGATGCATGGAGATAAAAAGTATTTTTTCAAGTTGTAAATAATTTATTTAATATTTAATGGAAGTGTATTTATTTTGCAGTTCATTAAACTTTTTTTTTTAAGCAAACAGATTGAGAGTTTGAATATGACTTTTGAGATTGTAAGACTTTAGGGTATATTTCTAACATTTAAATGATCATTTTAAAAGGAGTTCCCCCACCCTTTTTTTTTTTTACTGTTTTGATGTTTCTTTTCAAAACTTAACTGTTTTCTTAGAAAGTACTCTTAATGGGAAAATTATTAACTAGAGTCACTTAGTCCTCCTACAAATACTGATGTCCCAAACTGCTCTTTCTTATTCCATATAGAACTTATTGCAAATCCCATAAATTATAAAAGCTTCTAAAACCAACATGTGGCATAGCTTCTCTGTTACAGTAGACATAGATATTATAAAAGACAGAAAACATATTGCCCATCATTATCATCACCATAAACAAGAAAGGAATAAGGTTTGAATATGGCCTTTTGCATATACCAGGAAGTATTTAGATTTGAGACTTCTTTCCCTAATATCATGACATAAATATATAAAACATTTAAAACCCACTCTTCTTTTTCTCCACTCTTTTCTTATTTTAAACAAATACATGTATATTTCTGGTGAATGTTCTTTCAAAAGCATTAAGGTTGTGGAATGACTCAGTCATCCCTGGCTGGTCAACTAAGTTATCTGGGTGAAAAACAAAATAACCTTTCTGTTGTGCAGGGTATATTTTGAGACTATTCACCAGTAATAAGCATATTTCCAGCAATCATCTCATGGGATTTCATGATGAACGAAATGGATGAAAGGTGCCTCAAATATCAGCACTTCCATCTGTCTCTAACATGCATGTGGTTGCTCAGTCATGTCCTACTCTTTGTGACCCTTTGGACTGAAGCCCTCCAGGCTCCTCTGTGCATGGACTTTTTCAGGCAAGAATACTAGAGTGGGTTGCCATTTCTTCCTCCAGGAAATCTTCCCGACCCAGGGATTGAATCCATGTCTCCTGCAACTCTGGCATTACAGGCGGATTCTATACCTACTGAGCCACTGGGATTTCCAAATCCTTGCCCAGTGATCATCTAACCAACTGGCTCCCAGTCTCACACATTATTAGTTGAGTTTTAAATGTCAAAGTGGCAATTCTCATCCCAACCCTGCCACCCTCCTCACAGTTTCTGACTTAAATGGTCAGGAGTGGGTCATTGGTCCCTAAATTTTTTTAAAGATTCCTATTTACAGTCAGTGTTGAGAACCTCTGGTTCACCTCTGTGTACACGTCTACAGTATACATTTTCCTCATCATCAGTTACTGATTATTTATTGTTGATGACTCAAATATAGTGTTAGGGATATAAGACCAAAAAAAACGCCTTTATTTTGGGACATTTACCACCAAACTGGTAGGAGAGAGCATCTTGTCAATACAGTGCAGTAAATAGCTGGATTACGATATGTACCAGGAATTCATGGGATTTAGAGGAGCTCTTATCCGGAGCAGGCTGACTGAGGCAGGAAGGGTTTCTTGAAGAGGGCCCACCTGAGATAATCTTTGAAGGGAGAGTAGAGGTTATGTAGAGAAACCATTAGAGTCACAAGCAAATTACAAAGTCATCAAAGAGTGTGCCTCAAAAAGGAAAAAGAAAAAGTACCAACAGCAAAAAAAATAAAATAAAATAGTTCAGGATTACTGAAACAAAGGGTAAAGTCAAGAGAGGCTATAAGGGAAGTTGGATTGGTCAGAGCAGGGGCACACAGGGCACTTAGCTTACACTGTGAGTTGATTGAGGAACCATTCAGGCCAGTTGATCAAGGATAGTACTGATCATTTGTATTTCAAGTAGGTTAACAGTCAATCCTATGGTGAAGGTAAAGCCCAAAGCCAGAGGTAGGAAGTTTAGCTTGGAAGCAGTTGAAATATTCTAAGAGTGAAAAGAAAAACAGTTGAAGTTGGGAAGTTAAGGGAGGGAATGAGACACCCAAGATGTATTTGGAGATGTTTTTGTAGATTGGAAAAGCAAAAATAAGGTGAGGTATTACTTAAAACAAAGCCAAGGGAACAAGATAGAGAGAGGAGAGAAGAAATCCGGAGTGGCCTTCAGGTTCCTGGCTTTAGTGGCTGGGAAGATAGTGACACAATTTTAAGTAGCCATCTCTTGAACTAACTTGTTGAATATTCTAAAAGAAAGCATGGCTTTTTAGTTATACTTGAATGAAGAATGTCTCTTCTCTTATTTCATAAAATCATCCTTTCTAGTTTTTAATGGATTTGTGAAGAAATGAGTAGCAGCCTGAGCAATCATTCAACTGAATCAACACTGGCCCTCACCTTCCATCTGAAATTGAGCAGATGAGAGGAAAAACTAGGTCTACAAGTGTGATAATAAATGCAGCTTTGGATCTGTTGAGTTTGAGATGTCAGGAGATATCTATTAATAGGAAGCAGTTGGATACACAAGTTTGAAATCCAGTGAGGTGAAGAATTATACATTGAGAGTTGTCAAAATATATATGTTGTAACTGAAGCCACAAAATCCTCAAGATTACCAAATGAGGTGCTAATGAGTTTGCAGAAAAGTGTATTTGAATTGAAAATTTTCAGTTGTCACCAACAGTAGGAAGGATGACTCAGGCTACCACAAT